ACACTATTTGAAAGGCATATATTTTTAAGTAATTTAAGTGTAAAGTAGCTGCTGAGAAATTCTGACAACGCAGTACTTTTCCAAACATTTGGATGGTTTGTACTAAGAACATTCACGAATTACATATGCTGATCAGGTAAAAACCTTAGTAAATGAAGTGAAATTAATATCTGATTATTGGCTTAGTCTCATAGTTCAGTTGGTTCAGCACAGCGCCGATGACGAGGAGACCGCTAGTTCGATTCCTGCTACAACCTAGATTTCCATTTCACTTTCAACCATCACCTAGTATCAAAATAACAAGTTCTAACTTTACTAACAACCTAATGTGTAGTCTACTTTATAATTCAAAAAGGATATTCCTAACTTTTGGCATCATTCAAATCACTAGAGAACTTTGACAATGTGGTAGTTATGCCTTTATGAAATAAAATTCTGAGTTATCATGATATCTTTTGATCCTAAACTATTGATTATAGTTTAATGAATAACTCTAATATTGATGTCATTCAACTAATAATCTTCATCCTATGATGTAAAGTTGATTTCATATGAAGAAAAAAAAAATATTTATCAAACATAAGAAATTGTCTTCTTATTGAGTTGATTCTTTTTTCTCGAAGCTTTTCACGAGTAAATTTTTTCCAAATGAACCTTGACATTTCCATTTTCATAAAATCAGCTTCTGTAACTTCTCCTAATGAATAGTATTCATATCGTGTAGTTAGTCGACAAAATTTATTTGAACAATGTGATGCATTCGTGTAATACATTTCAAACAATCTGATGATACACTTACTTATCAAGTCAATTTCTATTAAACTGGAGTGTTTGAACAATTAGGATATAATATGGGATTAAAATTAAGAAAGATGAGAACAAAAAGGAAGAATGATATAGTTGATCTTAATCTTGGTAAGAAAACAAAGTTTATCAAGGTAAATGTAGTGTAGGAGCGAATTGTTTCTGTACACACTTCGTCTTCTAATTACGCTATCGAAATTCATAAAAGAGACTAACTGTTTCAAATTTTTTGAAGAGAAGACTCCCTCCATGCACTGTTAAGCGGTTAAATGAACTATTTAACTTAAAGTGTAAAATCGCATCTGAGAAAGTGAAATTAGAATTCTATAAATCGTGCATTTCTGATCACATTTTTCCTAGACAATTTTACAAATTGTTGCGATTCTCTAAACTGCAACCCAACCTTTCAAATCTTGTTCGGCTTATGAAATCACACATAGATAATTGCAATGAAAGTTACGCAGCTTAACTGAAATGCATACTCATGCTTCATGTGTAATGTCGGATATTTCTCTTATATGCCACATTAAATTCATCAATTTTTGTACCTCCGTAATCAGTAAAACGAACGATAGAACAAGGCAAAAATTGTCTAGATCCCTTCCCAATGACATTCATGCAAACTCATTTCCATGCGTCCCAGATAAATGTGACTAATTTGTCCTCTGTTGTACTTTCAATTCATGAGAAAGAGGCGCTTTCCCTTGGATTCAACTTTTCAGTTCCATACACGCAAATCTCTCAATTGGATATTGATGCTCAGTTTGAAAATCTCTATGACCAATTGAGCCCTCTTGTCCCTACATCTTCAGATAACCAAAGTTGTTTAAAGGCTAAATTAGTTGATATTGCTCACCAATTCCATAGTTCAGAAACAAGACAAAGAAGCATTTTGAGTTCACAGCACTTTAAATCTTTGAGAGAATTACGGAACAGATCGGATATAATCATTCTTAAACCCGATAAGGGATCAGGTATCGTTTGATAAATAAATCTGACTATAAAAATAAAATGCTATCCATCCTCAGCGACAAGAGAAAATTCATAGCCGATGTTCCATCAGAAGATATTAGAAAATTGGAAGTAAAAGTAACCACTCACTTAGTAAAACTTTTGAATATGAATGCCATTAGCAAAGAGGAATTTAATTCATTGAAACCTATGGGATCCGAATTTCCAAATTTATATGGATTACCTAAGATTCATAAAGCTAATAATCTCTTACGCCCTATATTGTCTATGTGTCGTTCTCCCACACATAAACTGGCGAAATGGTTGGTAAAAATGTTAAATCCAGTTCGAAACGAATTCTGTAAGTTTTCATTGAAAGATTCTTTTCAAATTGCTAACTGTCTTAGTAACATGAATATAAAAAACAAGATTATGTAGTCTTTCGATGTAAATTCCTTATTCACTAACGTGCCATTGTCCAAGACTAGTAGCATTCTCTGTGACTATATATCCTCAAAAAACCTCCCATTTCCCATTACTCCAACCTTTCTGAAGGAGTTATTATTGCTGCGTACCGACAAAGTCCACTTCACATTTGAAGGTGAATGCTTTCGACAAGTTGACGGTGTAGCTATGGGTAGTCCTTTAGGACCACTACTGGCTGATATTTATATGTCATATATTGAAAATCTGGCTGGTGATCTCATCGCTAAAGTTCCTCTTTACAAGAGATATGTTGATGACATCATAGTGATTTGTGAGACGCATGAGGATATGGTTTGTCTACTAAATAGACTTAACGCCTGACATGTGAGAAAGAGAATAGTAATCAACTGCCATTCCTAGATATACTTCTCAGTCGACGAGAAGATGGTTCAATAAGACGGTCAGTTTACAGAAAGCCTACATGGACAGGACAATATCTGAATTTCCACAGTTTTTGTCCAATCCAATACAAGCGAGGTTTAGTAAAATGCCTGTTTAACAGGATCTATCGTATCAGTACACTAGATGCGATGGATGAAGACATCAAATTACTGAGCAAAGCACTTATGGAAAATGGATATCCGACGAAGTTTATAAACCGTTGTAGCACTAAAGCCAACTCTATACATGGTCCTTAAGAAAAATGTCCATATCACTCTACCATACAGAGGAGAGCTAAATAGTATCATTTTGAGACGTAGGCTGACATCAGCCATTAAGAAAACGTATTACGCAGCGAATCTTACCATTGTGGAGAAAACAAAACACATGCTTCACCAAAAACCTAAACACTGCATCAGTGATTACGTCACATCCCATTTACATGTGTGTGTTGTCACACATACATAGTGAGGAGTAATCGAGTTATGCAGTTGAGGGTGGAAGAACATGTGCCTAAATGGCTTCAAAAACAAATGGAGTGTGAAACAGTGATAAACGCTGGTGGGAGACGACCCTCTTCATTTATAGCTAAAAATATCAAAGAAACAGGTCATAAAGTTAATGTTCAAAAAGTGGTTTCAATTTATGTATGGCTATTGCTCCATAAACCTCAGTATGTATGCCCAATGAATTCTACATAACTTGACTTCGAAATCTGTTTGAACAATAATTTTGTGACGCGTTTCCGATACATATTTAGCTATAGATGGTAGTTGTGGTGAAGGTCCAAAAGACTTCAGAGAAGACAGTGCTATAGAGGCATGTGTTCCACTAGGAACCCGAGAGAAAGCAATAGTAACAGTAAAACGATGGGGGGGTTGTCTCCAATCTGCGCTTATTTAAGTTTCAAATTCTTTGCACACTTTGTGTACAAAAACAACAAGTAAGTATGTGATCAGATTGTTCGAGTACATCACACTATTCAGATAGACTTTATCTTCTAATTACATTAACTTCATAAGGGGACTAATTGTTTCGAAAAGTATTTAGTGGTATTCTTGTATCAATTCAATTATCTCCTATACTTAGATTTACAGAATCGTTCTTCTTCACCTACTCTCAGCTATTTTACATTGCTAAAATATTCATATTCGATAAAAATGTGTTAGTTTGCATACCTAAGTAACACTTTTCAGGAGAGATTGATTATTTCTGGATAATAGTTAAAATCGTTGTTCTAAAAGGAAATCCTAGTTGCACTTTGAATAGCTTAATATTCATTCAGAAGCAAAAGTGTGACGAAGATCATTACCGGCCCCATATTAGCACACTCAGTTCAGATGAACCATACGAAGAACATAAGTAATTTTTTGTTATTTACCGAGTTCCGATGAACTAGCCAAAAAGGATCCCGGCTTCAAATGCTTCAGACTTCGGAAGTAGTGACAATGAGGACTAAACAACCTGGATTATGGGTTCAAACTGAATTCTAGTAATAACTGATTCTAGCATAAATGTTTGCACAAAACTTTTCTAAAGTAATTCCCTTCTCTGTATAACATTAGTAACAAACTGACAAACAGGATTTGGATTTGGAGGTTTGTATAGATCTATTGATTTCATGGACTGACATCAGTTGGAGGAACAGCGGAAACTTGTGAGCATTGGATAGCTGTTTCGTGGAGCTACATCGTGAACTGACAGAAGTAGAAGATATAGGCGATTGGATTCCAAACCAGTGGTTCAATGATAATGTTCTGATCGCAGAAGCTGAAGGTCCTTCGTTCGTTCCCTGGCGAAGTCACGGGTGAGCAATGCTGAGGAGTCCCATACCGGCATGAAACAGCTTTCCAGTGCTCCCAGGTCCCCACTATCCTTCCAGTTAATATTGGTCGATGATGAATAAATTAATGACATATGTGTTGAAACTGAAGTTGTTGAAAAGAAGATTCTGTGTTCATTGAAATGATTTTCGACTCATCAATCACTGCTGGAATCCAGCATGTTGACATGTAAGCTTAATGTAACACTTTAGGTAAAAAAAATATTACAATAAATGAAGAGATTAATTAGAATTAAATTCAAAATTATTCACTTCACAAACAAACAAACCGATCAACTCGGTGCAATCAACGACCGAAAATTACCAATAATAACATATTGCTTATGTACGATATAGGTTTAGAAATAAATTAGTATATGAGTGGTAACACCTTAAAGTCAAATAACAGTGAACCAACTTTCTTTTCATGTATGGTCATTTCAACACTTACGCATACATAAATCCACACATATACCATGCAAATCAATAATTTTCCTCTCAACTACTTCTTAGTGTTAAACTTTAGTAATCAAATTAAGTTTTCAATAATTCCTACCTTATAACAATTTGATTGCATACAATGATAATGAGTTTGACGCCCATTGTGTGGACAAGCTGAGACAGTACAATCATCACCTGGACTATAACGCATAAATCCATACTGCATACTTTCTTCTCGTTTTTTATGCCATTTAGCATGTCGTATCATTTCTTCTCGTCTTAAAAGAATCTGAAATTGTATGAAAAAACACATTGAGAGAAAAGTTTATGTAATATACCAAGACAATTTATGCCCTTCCCCGACGCACGCAAACATACCCATAAAAACTGAAGTTTAGAAATAATCTTCGAATTATTCTAAATGTCTCTCATATAAGAATTAAGTTTTCCAGACTGACAACCAAATTACTTCTAGATCACTGTGTTACAGAATAAAGACGGATACTTTCAAACCCGTTCAAAATAAACAACTAAAAGGTATTTTCACTGATCTAAAGGTTTCATTAGCTGGATAGAAGTAATTTTAGTGTCAGATAGCTGGCTCACTCATTTGCTTGAAGCTGAAGATTAAAGTTGGCGACTTGTTAATAATCATCTTTCTAGTGTGCATTATTCTTTTTTGCATCTTATTGTTGTACCAGTATTAGTTAAGTAGTTTCCGGTAAAATTCTAGTCGACATCTTAGTTAATCGGTTGGAAAACTACTGGATCATGCAAATCCGTCTCCAAACTCGTCATTCAGTGAACGCTGAAACGTCCCGAAGAAGTTTTAAAAAACTATGGTTTTCTTCAGGCGTTAGAACAGGGTTAGATGTTTGTTGAAAGCACTTAGAACTGAAATTCCTCATCCTAATCACACCACTAACCTAAGCGTTAGTTTCCTACAAGTTGAATAATTTAGATTAAAGTCAACCTTTTATACAGCGGTACTTTTTATACCAGTACACAAGTACAGCCAATTCATGTTTTTTCAGAAAACATCAGTAGCCCAACCAATTTGGCATGCTAATTACTAAATGAGAATAGTTTTCATATCAAACAAGCCACCTTACGAGTGCTTGATTCTTTCTGTCATTGTATTTACCTCAAGAAACAGTAGTTTACAACATCAATAGCCTTTTTAAATCTCATATACATTAGGAAGAATGTTTATTTCAAATAGTTAAGCAGCAGTTTATTTATTAGCGTTTTACGAAACCGTTCCCAAATTATTCACTAAATACTAAGTCTGTAAAATTGGATCTTATTTCACACCTCAGTAATTATACTTAGCAATAAATTCTTCTGTATTCCATGAATCAGTCAAATACATACAGATAAAGAAAGCTGTTAAGTGAAGAAGTTACAGGACGGTTGTACTGTCACAAAAACACTAGTCTAAGTGTACCCTATTTGATACTGACTAAATTTCCTTGAGTACTGACTATTTAAATATTCTAAATTAAGGTGATACTGACACTTGAACAAGTTCCCACTTTCTTTGTTTCTAAAATTTACAATGGTGTTACTACGTTTGAAAAATGATCAGCAAGTAAATAGAGCGAAAGTTCCATCATAATGCTTTGGTATGTGATATAGCAATAGGCTCAGGTTTTCAAAACCCTGTCCAATCATTTTTTTCGTAGAAACCTTTATTGAATTGTTTCTCTCCATGGTGTGGGTGTGTGCATATAAATGCCCAAATAATTACTGAGTTACTTTCTGCTATTTGTGTTCCATTTTCTCACGAAAGGTCAGCCTCAATTGTTGAACTTCCTTAAAAGTCAGAATAGAGAATGGTCCATGGGGTACAGCTGTTTGTAATTCAACCATATGTGCATATGAATATCCTAGTGAAATAGAGATCAGCAGACGATTTCTGAAAAGATCTTGTGATAGATAAGACTGAGTCCATAGGAATATAATGGTGTTAGACATTTTGGTTTAAGTCGTCAAGTATTTCTGTTTCCATAGTAAAACAAGGAAATATGGTTTAGTTAGACTTGACTAACTGGGCACAGTTATGCACCTTAATGATCCCCAACTCGGCTCATGATTATGTCAGCTTATTGTTGATGGTGTGGTCTTGTTCTTTTCTCAGTCTACACAGACTCAATAAAATACATTCTATTGCAGTACTATTTTCTAATTTTGCTGCCTTTTAAGGTACTATATAGCTCAATCATCATGTTATGCAGCAGAAAATGAAGTTTGCCACTATAAAACGACTTAAGTTCATGCATTCAGAGTAGAACAGTGTGATGGATTAGACTGTTGAAAGTAGCTGACAGGATTTCTAGGACTTAAGTTTTGAGCTTGTTAGTATTCACCAACTAGGCATATCTACACGTTAAGCGGCGCTTACTCAGACGCTTGAAATTAGAATATACAGTTCAGACGTTTGTGACATGTTCACTGGAATACGTAGGTTACGCCAATGAATACAAGTGTCTTGAATGCTTTCATTTTAAGTTGACTAGGTTATAAGAACCAATTTTCAGGTGTTTCGTTCTCTGAAGATGAAATTAACCACAATTTTTCTTTGTGAATGAATTGCATGTTCAGGGTAGTAATTACGTCATAAGTTTGTAATTGATTGTGACAGTTGAAAGTTATAATTCATGGTCGCTTGAACTAAAAAGGATGAAGCAAAGCAAGTTAGGATCAGTAACATAGTATGCAGTGATGGAGTAAATAAACCAGCTAACTTTGTCATTTCCGGTTATACTCCAAAATATAATTACACAAATGACTTAAGTAAATCTGCTACTTCCCTAATGTGTATCAGTATATTGTTAGTGCAATTAAGTCATTCACATTTGTTGTCTGTAAAAGCAGACGGACTTTATCAACTAATAAATACTGAATCTAAGTTCAAGTAGGTTAGCGTAAAAATATCTATTCATTCTCTTACAAGTTTATGTTGCTGTCTATGAAGGCAAAACTGCTAGTAGTTCCCCTAGTATGCTAGTTGTAAAGTTTAACTCGGTTTTGTTGAACTGGGTAATAGGGCCAGGTACAATAGATTTTAGATTACGGAACCATATATAGTTTAATACAATTCTATTAAATGTATACCTTGTTGCATACACCACAGTGATAGTGTTCTCTAAGTCTGGAAGATCGACATGCTTCATAGCCGCATTCATTGTTTGAACAGAATTTTCTAATTGATTCCATAAGATTCGGTATAGAATGTAACTCTGACTCTGTAAACCAAAGTGAAGTTGATTTTGAGTCACATTTTTCTGTATCTGTAAATTCTGAAAAAAAATATATCAGTAAAAAAAATTGTTTGAAAACGCTTCTTATAATATAATAAAGGAAATGGCACTCAATAGCTTCGCCAAAATAGACTTTAATACCATAACAAAAAACATAGGAGCCTTCCTGTCCCCGTGATTTCTATCACAGTATTACTATAGTGTTGTTAGTTTACCATCTGGAAGTTGTTATTTTGAAACTTCCGGCATCGTTAGCTTATCTCCCGGAATGTTTTTCTTCGATAATCACTTTTAAGCTAAGCAACTTTATTACTCCAAACACTTCAAGTCATTTTCACAAAAGCACCAGCGGTCTTCTTATCAAATACCATGTATCTTCCACGTGAATGAAAACCAATGAGTTATAGACAATAACTGTACACTACATGGACGAAAATCTCGATAAAACAAGGTTGTGTACATTGCTTACAGACTTAGATACTAGTTCTATCCACAGGTAATCACCATAGAAGGATTATATCAGTCAAAAAGAGAACCAATTGAAATTGACAAACATAAGGTACCTGTTTACCTGCTGAGTGGGATACCTTAGTGGTTGGAAAATTCGTTTCACTTTAGGCAAACTCATAGGTCCAACAAATAATCTTTCATCTTCTTAAGTAGTATATCGGTAACTTCAACTCATTCCTGCATATGATGATCAGTTTGTGAAATATTTGAAAATCTCACGGTCCAAATTTACATTTCTCCCAGCTGAGTAGTTTTTCAACTGCCTAAATGTGGTGTCAACAGGGTTTCCGTTAGAAAACATTCGGTGAAGGTCACAGGTTGTGACCTCTGACATGAAAATTCATGCACTAATAAAATAGACTAGTGAGCGACATGAGTAGCATTTTTTCGCCCTCCATCTCTCTAGCACTAATATCTTTTTAATCTGATCTAAATTTCTCTACTGAAACGAAAGAACATTTGCTTTTCGAAAGAAAGTTTTGTGTGACCGTAAATTATGCAGAAGGTGATCTCCTTTCTTAGATCTCTTACTTATTCATATTAACTACCAAGAGAGATTGCTAACTTTGGAAAAAAACCTCCTGAGAATACCGACCTGTGGTGGTTATTGCAGCGAATGAAATCACTACTCAAATGATAATGTTAATAAGTTAATATGCGTATGAGTAAGTAAGAAGCAGGTTTGTAGGACTGCCTAGCAGCCGAATTCAATTCCACAACATGAAATCTGATACATTGCAGTTTTGACGAATGGGCTGGCTCATCATATCACAAAGCGCTATCGATAAACCAGATTCAACTTTGTTGTTATGATACTTGTTATTTCCCGTAGCTATACAGGGTCGAACTGCTCAACCTCTGTTGGTAGATGGACTCTTAAGCGTTCGTCTCGGTACTGCTGGATATTCATGGTGTTGTCTCCATGTTGATGACTAGCAGTGGAATCCAGGATGCGCGTTTCGTCCTATTTGGGGCTTATCACCTGGGTGTACCTGCACCCCAGTGAATGATGTTGTTCCCACCGAGACTCAAACCAATACTCATTGCTTCAAATCCCGAAGCGTTATCCGCAAGGCGCTGGGGTGATAGAGCTACATATAATTTCCCGCTGCTATACACAGCCGAATCGCCTGACCTCTGCTCGATCGCATTAGCATTTGGGGTGATGGGAGCTGGGTTCGATTCTCAGTGAGAACAACATCACACTACGGTGCAGGTGCATCCACCTGGCGAGTCTCAAGCGGGATGAAGCGCGCATCCTGAATGCCGCTGCTAGTCACGAAGATGAATGTAATGAATTCAACACTGCTGAATAAATAAGCTGACATCAGTAACTCTTCTGTTAACAATCTGGTGGGGGTTATGTGATATATACAAGAATAATGATCACTAACTTACCAGATTTTGAAGACGTTTCATTTTCTAAATCATTTGACTTTGTTTCAGAAACTGGGCAGTTGAACTATCTTCTACCGTTTTATTAACTTCAATTACATTTTCACTGGAATTATTTTTGGTAAATAAAGCATAATTTTTAGCGTAATTCCAAATGAACTCAGTAGGATTCAATAAATCACTTGTCATCAATTGATCATTTATTCCGTTATCATTCAATGAGAGTTGTGATCCACTTCGATGTAAACAAAGTGCTTCAGAGAGTTTATAAAATATTTCTTCTTTTACTGGGGTTTGTAAAACTGTCTTACTGTCTTCTGTGGTTGTATCTGATGACGATAAACTGAGTAGGGTAGAAGAAAGACGAGGAAATAAAGGTGCTTGGGCTAAAAGGAAAGAGATTAAACAATAACAAATTAGATACATTTTTTGATGCATATGACATAAAAACTCTATTAAAATTACTGAAGCTAATGTATACATACCGTTTCAACACTGGATACTGATATGACTGGTTACAATCCTTTGTGCACTATGTTCAGCAACATATTTTGTTGCTTTATAAGGCCCCTTATTTTGCTCTTCTCTTGATATATAGGTAGCTAACTAACTGGAACCGTTTTAAACACAGCAAAAAAATATGAGAAATATTACAGCAATGAGATAAGAAAGTGTTAAATTCTTTGCAAATTGGTCATGTTGTTTGTAGTTTGAAACTTTATTTCAGGGTAATGTCCATCATGGACTGACATAACTTGAAGAACCATAGGAGACCTGAGAGCACTGGACATTCGTTTTATTCCTCAAGTTTCGTGGCAAATGCGTTAATCATTCAGCTACTTGGTTGGAGTTCAGTGGTTTATATTCAAGTAATCGGATTCAAATAGTCTAGTAATTTGACAAAACAAGTCCTGGCAAAATTATTTTTACTACTGGATGGTTTGAAACAGTTGATGAAAGTTTTACTTCACATTGATTTGGTGCTTATTAAATCTTACATATGCGCACGCATATCCCACAAGGAAACAGTATTCTGTTAGAAATCTGAAAACACTGGAGTCAGATCTACTTTTATAAACGTTTATACAGTAATTATTTGGCTGGATAACTATGTAAGAGGTTGGTATGATAGGCTAAAAGGCAAGATTACGGCTTGAAGCCTCATGAGAATGCTTGATTTCTCAGATGTTGATAGATGCAGCAGAGTTTGAAACTATAATGAGGTGACCCACTGTTGAATATTCAAACTAATACGTAACGTCTAGACTCAGAATTAATTTCGACTGAATGAGCATAAATTCTGCAGGTGACGTTTACCGACTCGTTTACTAAGATACGTATAGAATTACATAAGGGTCACTGCACTGAAGAGCTAAGATAATTCAGGAATGAATTTCGGTCTGTAAAACTAAACAGATAGCCTCAGATTTTGGTCATTCAACAGTCTTTTGTAATGGAATCCTGTGTATCAACTTGATCTACTTTATCATTGAAGTTATGCCAGTAATACTGCCAGGAATCATTTGAAGGGATAATCGAAATTGGAGAGCAATACATAAGTTTTCCTTTCGAAGTGTACGACTGCTCTCAATAATACTTTTCCAGTTCTATCCTCAGTTATAGCTTGAAATATCCATCCAAGAAGTATAGAGTTTTAGCTAGTGTTTCAACAGTATACACTTCAAGAAAACCACTAAAATCACCAAGCTAAAATCATGAGACTAAAGTGAAAATAAGATCCAACAACTGACTCAGCGGGATAACATATTAGACTGTTAGAATGTATTATTTGAAGTTTCATCGTGTTTTAAGTATGATAATTTATGAATTCGACAGTTGAATCTTTATACTGCTAGTAATATCTCACTTTCATAATTGTAGAGATAAGTGGCTACAGGTGTGATGGAAATCATCACACGAGATGAGAGCAGTGTTAGGGAAACTCAAGTAAAAATGAAGAACTAGTTAGTAGTTAATTATTTCTTTTAACTCAGGTGAAATAGCATTAAGCCAGCTTACCGATACCGTCGGTTTAAATCCAATCTGGACTAGCGTTTCTGTTCAGCCTCAATTATTATTTATATATAATATTAAAGTGTACCAGGTGCAGTTACATTAGATAATTTTTTCGTAAAAGCTTCTGATCTATATAAACATACTGACAGCCAAAAAAGGATAACGCATCAATTAAATATTCAATGAATTCTAATGGAGTGCGCATTGACGCTGAGATATAACTCATTCACAGTATCTGCTTTAATGACTTTATTGGCGAAAGAAAAGATGGGGAAACAAACAGGCAAATTAGCTGAAGATAACATTAAGAGGCTAAACATTTGTACTTGCACATCTGAAATGTTTGCGTTGACTGCACGAAAACGAATCTTTGAAGAAGATTCACCCAACGTATAATCTCTACCTACGATTTCCTTTTACAAGGCTACTAACATCTAATTCGGGAAATAGAGACAGACAGAATAAACGACGTAGAACATGATGCTGAAGCTTGATTGGTGCAGGCTGCCATACATTAAAGTAATATGCGACACGTACGTGGGGAGAAAAATAATAGTTTTAAAGTAGACCAACGTGTGTGGAATAGAGAAGAGATAAATAAATGCTAGCGGAAATATCCAAACTTTCAAAGATGTTAAAGAGTGAATTAATTTACGCCATTTTGATTGATTTTCAGCCAGATTATCAGAATTCTCCTGTCGTTGATTTTTATAATCTCTTGGACCCCAGGCAGATAGTCTAAATCTTTCTGTGTGGAAAATACCAACACATTAAGTCTTCTTGAACTGGTCTCAGATCATGTGTAAACCTATGCTCTGAGTAAGAATGAATCTTGCAACTTCTGTATTATGATAGTGACGCACTAACCAACTGAGCTACTAAAATGAACATTGACTAATTTGAAGATATCTTATAATCAAATGCTACAATCTTCCATTGGTGGAAGTGAATAACAGCAACTCATTGTCACGAATAATTAGTAGTCAAGGTGATGAGTTTACAACATCTCAAATGAGCAAGTGGAAAGTATTTTTCCATCAAACTTGTGAAACTGTTCTTCACCACTATTTTCCCGAATTTTTTTAATGCTATTAAATTCATCTCACCCTAAAAAAGATATTTCTAACATCTAACGATTCTGACTGGCTGTTCTAGGCTATGTGTCACCGCGTTTTCATGAGTCACCTTGATTCGTCTTCTCCGAATTTGAAAAATTCAGCATCAGAGTTAGTAATAAGCTGATAGTAGAATGTTAGTGTCGGCAGGTCTTCCTCTCGATCGACCTCTACCATCTAACGGCAAAGAACAGTGCACTATAGTGTCGCACCACTAAGCCTGATGGCGATACTGCAAAACTTGTTAGTCAGACTTCAATCAGTGCTAAGCAGTAGACAGTTACGTTGGTCAACCACTGGTGAACAGTACGTGTACCTATTTCCCATCTGGCCTTATCATTCACTACCTAAAGATTCAGTGTGTTCAGATGAATGCACTTCCATGATATTAACAACAGAATCCAGAATAAACAGAGTTTACAGCTTATTGGTTACATGTAGATAAGTTTCGATTTGGTGTTCAGGACGTTTTTGTAGTAACAGTTAACCATCATACCTTACTAGTACATTAGACTGCAGTGGGGATGTTAAAATTGATACATACTGTATTCGGACAGCATTAAAAATACTAGTTTGTATCTTAAACGGGAAGATCTTACTTAGATAAGGTGAAATATGACTGTTTACGAATCAGATAACATTATTTCAATGCAGTTAATGCCACTATTGAAGCATTCAAGTGATACAGGCGCATAATTCAATAACTCAGAAAAGAAAGCCAAAAAAGCAAAGTGAGAAGACGAAATAGTTATTTCAGACTGTTGTACAAGTGATTATTAGGCTAACATTTCTAGTCATATTTGCTTAGATATTGCTAGTTAACGGGAGTAGGTGTTGGTGATTTGGCGGCTTATATATGTGTCAAAAATGTCAATGTTCACAGTCGTGGTTCTTTCATTGATGCGTACAAGTAACAATTACTACAGTGAAGATTAAGCAATTGAGTTCATCAGTGTTTTGAGAGATGAAGAAGAGTAGTTAAAACACTCTACCAACTACAGATGAAACTGTTATATAATGTACCGACTGATTAATGTGAATGGTTCTCAGACTTGGATGTTATTCATCTTGATACTTCACCATTTCGAAAACTTCAACTTTTAACTATTAGGAAGAAACTCTGCCAACAGCTTACTCTTTTCATAAGAAATCTGCCAGTAGTGAAAGTTGTCAGAAAGACTCCGTAAGTTGCCCTCGATTCCTGGTAATTTCCAAGTCATATTTAATTTTTCAGGGGATAGATTACAAAGGGGAAGACTGTTCTATTTAGGATTAGTGTACTAATAATGAGTTAATCAATACTTTTTTGAGAGACTACCGTTTTCCTTCCAGATGAATCACCTTCGTAAAGGTTACCAACTGTAAATTCATATTATTTTTTAAAACCTTCAAAGAAGGTGAGTACCGTAAAAGTTGTCTAAGTTCACTTGGGATCTTCTCAATCATGAATAGACTCATGAAATGAACATTCAAATTTTAATATAAGTAGAGATTCGAAATAAGGTAAACATGATACCGAGACGTTAGACTTCTAATACACAATTGTGTACATCGCAATGCTCTGGTGAGATCAGTATTCTCACTTATAACTTTCAAGAAGATTAGTTACTGAATAAGAATTTGCTAGACTATCCAGGCATTATTTATATTCAGGGTTTCCAGAATGACTGTGATGAAAAAGCATCGACTAAAGTCCGTAATTATTATCACTCTATAACCAAGGTGCATAGGTGATACTTTCCTGATTTGTGAAGCCATGTGTGGAGTCTCAAAAATTCTTTGAATTTGTAACATAGTGCATCACAATATAAGCTACACTAGAGGATACAAGCATGACAAAAGCTTCAACTTCCTGAAATGTATTCACTTGAAGTGGGGGCGGTGACACAGATAACAGAGATATTTAACTCAGGGGTGCCCGGATGGAGTAGCATTTAAATTACAACAACTGCCAAGTGAATAAAGAAAGCGGATCAACTGAATCACTATTTGGTGGCTCCAAAACCTTGTATCCCGAGGATCAGTTAGATGGCGAGTTAACTGTTATCGAAAAGCATCTGTTTGACAACGGATATCCGTAAATTAGTAAAAATGATGATATTTTGGGATGACCCAGTAAATGTTAACTAGCTGTCATCACAGGAATCCATCCAGTAGCGTAAATTGTTCCTATGTACAGCTATATTTGGGATTTTTCTGAGTCGAAAGTGGATAAATAGCCGCAGGGAGTTATCTTCATTCGTATCTATAAATTC